TACTTGAACCATCTTCGCTTCCACTGAAAACACCAAGGACTTTATTGGGCTCCTTTTCTATTTTCGTCTGAAGGTGAGCCTCCCAGTCTGGATCGTATTTACATTTCCCACAGGGACGTCGACTGAGGGCATCAGCATTCCTGTGTTGAGTGCCTGGGCGATGTTCGACAGTCATCTCATACATGCCCAAAATCTCGATCCAACGCGTTAGTTGGCCTTCTGGTTGTTTGAAATTGAGGAGCCATCGTAGCGAGCCATGGTCTGTACGAACCAGAAATCTCCGTCCATACAGATAATGTCTAAAATATTTTACGAAAGAGACGATAGCTAATAGCTCTTTCTTGGTGACACAGTATTTTCGCTCTGCCTTGCTGTTCTACTAGCATACGCTATGACTCTCTCTGATCCGTTCTGGCTCTGTGATAAGACGGCTCCTATGGCCATGTCGCTCGCATCTGTGTCAAGAAAGAAAGGTTTACTGAAGTCAGGGAAAGCTAGTATAGGTGCATTGACTAAGAAACCTTTCAATTGATCAAATGCGGACTGAAATTCCTCAGTCCATTTAAATTTGGCATCTTTGTTTGTTAACTTGTGCAAAGGTTTTGCAATCTTACCAAAATCTTTCACAAACCGCCGATAGTAGCTGCATAACACAACGAATGATCTTACTTCTTTAACAGATGTCGGCTCTGTCCAGTGTTTGATAGCTTCTATCTTTTTAGGGTCTGTTGCTACTCCGGCCTTGGAGATAATATGTCCATGGTATTCAACTTGCTCTCCAAAAAGAGTACATTTCTTTGCTTTCAATTTGAGCCCAGCTGACTGTAATCTATCAAAGACCTTCTGCAGATTCTCTGTCATTTCCTCAAAGGTTTTGCTAAACACAATAATATCGATATCATCGAGATATATAAGACATATATCCCATTGGAGACCACACAAGACTGTCTCCATGAACCGTTCGAAGGTCGCCGGAGCATTGCACAGTCCAAACGGCATTACCTTGAACTGATATAAACCCTTTTTTGTAATAAACGCTGTCTTTGGTCTATCAACTGGATCTACTGCAACTTGCCAATATCCCGATGATAGATCAAGAGTTGAGAACCAGCAGGATCCTGAAAGATGATCCAAGGACTCATCTATCCTCGGAAGAGGATAGGCGTCTTTGATAGTAGAGTCATTCAATTTTCTATAATTACGCAAGGCTCCCATCTTTCTTCCGTACAAGAACTACTCCGGCCGCCCAAGGACTTGTTGATTTTTTTATGACATCTGACTTGAGCATCTCTTCAATCTGTTTGTCTATATTGTCCTTCCAGTGAACAGTTCTTCTCAGAGGCTGTCTTATCGGTACTCTTGACCCTGTATTTATGGAATGTTTTACAATATCTGTTCTTCCAAAATCCCTGTCATCTTTAGAAAACAAATTTACATTCCGCAAGAGTAATGACCTCAGTTCTTCGGTCTGTTGCTGGCTCAGTCCTTTGCTTGATCTATCAAGCAATTCTCTGAGAGCTTTTGGTAATTCCTTTAACTGTTTTGTTGGCGCTTGATGTGATTCTTCTACTATGCCATCAACTGGTGTCAAATTCGCAACAACAGTTCCACTATGAATGACTTGTACATCTGGACTAGGATTCATCAGTCGAAAAGGAACGGAGTTTTGGTTCGTGACAAGCACCTTGCCAATTATCCCTCTTTCAGATTTCAGAAAGTCTTTATCGCCTTCTAGTATCCCTAAACCTCTTGGCAATGGCTCCTTGTCAGGTATACACAGTTGCAATTCATGACAATTTCAGACCTAGTTGGTATATGAATGGTTTCTGCCACAGCAACACGGTAACATCCAATATGACCCGCTTTATTCAAAGGTGAGGGTTTCCCATTTACTTCCAAAATCTGCGTTGTTAAATCGACAACACATTTGTTTCCGATCAAAAAGTCTAACCCCAAAATTGCATCGACAGTCAACTCTGTAACAACAACTTCGGTGCTATACAAAATGTTATTTATAAGGATTGGACATTGAGTTTCCCATAAATCGTAAGAGGGTCATTCCTTGCTGATAGCACTGGCTGGCTGACTTTCTTTAAAGTTTCAAGTGAGCTGTTGCTTTCGAGAAGTTTATCATATACATGTTTAGCCAAAAGACACAGTGTAGCTCCTGTGTCAACCAATATGTTTAAATCAAAACCATCAATAGATGCTTTAACAAAAATACCAGCATCCCCAGTAATCCCTACTTTTTCAGGAGACTCCGTTTTGCATGACTCTTTTGTTTGTTTTGTTCCTCTCTGCACTACATGGTTTTTATTGACATTCTGGGGATTCTGTTTTAGAGACATTCCTTTTTGAGATGTCCCCTCTTGCCACAGTTATAACAAGTAGCGTTTTCCTTCCATTCAAGTTTCTTTGTCCATTTGTCTTTTTGTAGATCACCATGTTTTTGTTTTAGCTCTTTGAGCTCTCCAACAATGGACATCATCGACTTTTGAAGATTCAGTATGGTATTGTTCACCTTTTTCAACTCTACTGTTACATGTAATTCATCCCTAGATGTGTCCTGCCCAACAGCTCTCAAAGATGAATTCACGCCTCTCAACCTTTGTTCAGTTTTCAGGAAAGCCTCTAGTTCGATTGCATTTCTAACAGCCTCATTTAAATTCTTTGGTCTGGCTTGTTTGATTCTCAGCCGAATATCAGATATGGCTAAGGCATCAATGAAATGGTCCTTAGCTAGAGTTTCCTTTACATCTGCAGGTACTGTTGGATATGCCAAGTTCACAAGACGCCTGATTTGTTGACCAAGCTCTGGCAACGATTCTGACGCTCTCTGTCTTCGCTCTCTCAGTTGAGCTCTATACAAATCTACTTGATCTGGTGGAGCAAATCTATCACTTAATGCAAATGTCAGCTCTTTATAGCTCATTTCTTTACCATCTGATAAATTTCCAAGAACACCTTGAGCACTGCCTCTTAGAGATACGGACAAGTACAATCCCTTCTCTGTTTCGTCCCAATTACCTAACTTTGTACAGGCTTCAAAATGTGATTTATAATCAAGCCATGACGTCGAACCATCATACGTTGCCGGCTTTATGTTTCCCTAGATTGTAGAATTGGGCTTGTATCACGCGTACTGGTAGCGTACTGGACTCCTGTGCTGGGAGACGAGGCTCTTGGCTTCCTCCTAAAGGTTACATTAGACACTGGATCTTCACGTCTTCTTCCGGGCGTCTCCTGTTCATTCTTTTTCAAATAAGGGCTAAGGTCGAATTCATCTTTCATTGATTCCTTTGCAGTACCGACCCGATCCCCGAATCTTACAGATTTTCTCTTGGCTCCAGTTTGTTCTTCTAATTCAATATCATCCACAGCATGTGAGGTTGCAAACCCTGAGTCTGTAACCTGACTATTTTTATTTGGCGTTCTTACAGGTGTGGAGTGGCTCCTTTGTGAAGGCTCCAGCTCATATGAGGCAATCTGGCTCTCGAGCTCTCGTATTGTAGCATTGACCTCATCAATATTCATGATTAATGATATTGTACAAAGAAAAAATTCAATAAAATACTACCAGGTAGTATCCCACCGCTGCCACCAAAAACTTGCAGCGTGAAACTTTATAATGTAATTATAAATAGCAGAGGCGGCTGAATTTCCCCAGTTAACTTTCTGAGGACCTGGCAGGTTCAAAATATACAAATATATGATCAAGCAATATACACAGATAAATATTGAGACTACCTGTCTTTAATCAATTATATACAATAAATTAAAGTTACATGTATGCTGGCTCTTGAGCGATCGATTCTTACAGCTCGGCTCTTATGGTTACCGGCTCTTACAGCTCGGCTCTTTGAATACCGGCTCCTACAGCTCTTTTCTTTAATACTGGCTCTTACAGCGCAGTTCCTACAGTTCGGCTCTTTACAGCTCTTGCTGGCTCCCACAGTCACTTTCTTAATAACAAACAATATCTAAAGCCAGGAAAGACTTGTTCAGTCACGTCTAAAGCTTTAAATATTTATTTATTATCATTAACTAAAAGTTACTTCTGATCTTTAATGGTCCGCCGCTTGTGTTGCCACTTCAGCATCAACTTCGCAATTAAATTCAACTCTGGCGCTTCACTTGTATTTATACCCTATGTGACCAACAACGCCATCTAGCGGAAACATGACTAAAATTCCGCTTGTACCGGAATAACTTTTCCCGAATTGTTTCACATGTATACAAGCAAAAAAAAATCTTCTCCAAAACTGCGAGCCCAAGATATTGATATTGAAATAGTCCAATGCTGTGTGGATTCACGTTATGTTATGTAATAAACCCATGGAGCTAGGGAGGCAAATGAGAGGGAACAAATTCTTAGCCTGTGGAGCTCTTATCAGTATAACATAGTCTTGTTAAAATAATTAAAAAATTATACATTTTTTCAACTTTATATTTATAATTTTGTGCTTGTATAAGGATTTGAATTCACCAAGAGTGCAGGTCTTGATTGAAAATGACACCATTTGGGTGGCTATTCATTTTTTTCACTGCCACATGTATATGGTGAACTTTTTAAAAAATTCTAAATAACCTTATCTGTGTTATGGTTTTTTCTACAGTATTCATTGATTTTAAAATATCTACATTTTTCTTGTATCAATTTTAATGTCATTGTTAAAGCATGATTTTTAACATTATCACTCAATCACAGGCAATTACTTTTGCTCTCTTTCTGAAGAAAACGGAATTATTGACAGAATACCTTCTGAATTGTTCAGATGAGTGGTAATAGGTTTTGATCCAATACATCCCCTCTTTTTAAATGTGGGGAAAACTGGTTAATTTGGGTCTTTTCTTTTATATGTTATTGAATGGGACAAATTTTATTTTATATTTGATAGAATGATTTCTAAAATTGGACATGTTTGCTATCAAAATGTTTCTGCTGCTAGCATAGAAAAAAAGGAAAATTCTTAAGATTAAACGTATGTATTCTACTGTAGGTATAGTGTGGTGCATGGAATATGAGGACCATGCAGATCTGCAGGCACAGGAAATCAAGGATTATAAAGGCTGGACAGAAACGGACAAGACTATCTCCTCTATCATCCAGAATGTCTTATCTAGACTTCAGTGGAATAAAGAGTAAGTGATGGGAATATACTAAATATTTTTAAAAATGTTTCAAATAACAATGTTTTTTTCCCCTCGAATGAGCTTACGATAACTTTATTTAAGGTCCATATACCCTCTGCTCACTCATGTAAAATGTTGTTTATGATTTTTCCTAAAGGGAAATATTATATACATGTATTTAAAATAAACATAATTATAGTTGGGGTTGCGGAGCAAAAGTGGACAAAAAAGACATTTCAGCTTGACAAATTAATAAAGGAATAATAGACATTTTTCCCAGTAAGAGTTATCTCTTTTATCAGAGTATCAATGAACCTTAATCAAAGGCATTTCTGTACCTGTTTGTTTTGTTCATATGTTTTTGGAAATATGCAAGTCTTTTTAAAAGATCTATTTTATAATTGTACTAGGTAATACTGGCACTTAGTGAGTGTTTAAACATTTGTTACAAGATTCAAAAGGTCGTTTATAGTCGTTATAGTGTATGTACTTCCCATCCTTTCTCAATCATTATACCCACACTTTCTAACGAAAGTTCAAGTATATTGTTGTTACACTGGTCCGTCCGTCCGTCTGTTACACTTTCTTCTTCCTCAAACTCCTCTCTTAATTTATACAGTAACCAATTATTTTTTTTTTTGGAAAATAATAGGTGGCCTCCTGTAGATGTGCAATAAGGTTTTCGCATTTCAAATCCAACCTGGTGGCAATATAGGGGTCGAAAATTGCGTTTTTCTTTCAAAAACCTGGTTCCCAAAACTCCTCTTACATTTTACGCATGTACATTGTAACTACCGCTCAGTAGCTAAATCATCTTTTGAAAAATGATTGGCGGTTTCCTTTAGATATGGAAAATGTTTCGAAATTTTCATTTTTTACCCTGGGGTTCAAATAAGGGGTCGAAAAACGACTTTTTTTCTCTTAAAAAAACTCTGGTTCCCGGAACTCCTGTTACATTTTACGCAGTAGCACTTTCGTCTTTTTGCAAGCTGATTGTTGGTGTCCCGTATGAGTGCAATAAGGTTTCTTAATTTTACTTTCACCCTTAGGGTGAAATGGGGGTCAAAAACGATGTCTTTTCTACAAAAAAGCATGGTTCTTAGAACTCTTCCTACATTCTACACATTAGCCATCTCATCTTTTGCAAGATAATTGGGAGCGTTCTGCAGATGTACCAAGGTTTTGAAATTGTAATTTTCACCCTTGGGGCCAAATGGGGGTTGAAAAAAAACGGAATTTTTCAAGTTCAATTTTAGCTGATGTTTTTCTTCTTTTTTTCTTTACAAAAAAACATTTTTCTGAAACTCTCTCTTTTAAATTCAGAATTTGCTTCAATGCGATCTTTAATTTTAGAGATTTATGTCTCCCCTTCCAAGGGAAGACATATCGTTTTTGTCGATTTTCTTCTTCTTCTTCAATCAATTTTTGTCCGGGCCGTACGTACTTAAATACCCTTTGACATTAAGACTTCAAACTCGGAAGATAGATAGATGGCATTGAGAAGGGGTGCATGCCACCAAAATTTTTGATTTATTTATAAGGTCAAGTTCAATCTTTTACATCAAAATAGAGTCCCGGCCATAATTTGAGATCCCTTTGATATTAGGACTTCAAACTTGTAACATAGTAAGAAAACATTGATACAAGATGCACTGCACCAGAATTTTGACCTTGACCCCTTTCTTCATCAAGGTAAAATTGAAATACTATTACTATTGACATTAATACTTCAAACTTGGAACATGGAGAGGTGGTATAGAGGAAGGGTGAATGCCAACATTATTTTTCACCTTAACCTATAAATAAAGTTAAGGTCAATCTTTTACACGAAAATATAGTCCAGGTCATAACTTGAGAACTTGTTGACATTTGGATTTCAAACTAGGAACAAGGAAAGACATTAAGACTAAATGCACTGCATCAAAATATTTGACCTTGACCGCTTTCTTCGTTCAAGTTCAAATAAAGAAAAATACGACCAGACCATAACAAGATCCTTTTGACATGAAGACTTGAAACTCTGTACACAGATCGATGAATTTGAGCTGAGATGCGCTGCATTATTATCTTTGACCCTGATCATATTATTGCACTCGTTAATGTTTGTAAAGAAGGGGAGACATGTGTTTTTTGGTAAAAAATACCCACTAGTTATTACTTGAAATACTAACATAAGAGGTCCATGGTTATATTCTTACCTTTGCAGTTTATGCCTACTTTGATACACGTGTACATATCAACATATCATGCAGTAAAGTGGCATGTAAATATGTTTCTAAATTGATTTTAAAGTTTTGATCATTTCTTTGAGAAGAAATAAATGGTTGTAAAGATGTCGGTTATAAAAGGAATTTAAATTAAATTGTATCCATTCTTTGAGGGAATCAAGCTTTATTGCCTTGTAAAATTCATTTCTTTCAATAGAATAGATCAACAACACAGTATTGGCAGTCTTTGTCATGGCTTTAATAATAAAATTTGTTGAAATCAGATTTGACAAACACTATATCAATCCACTATATTATTGTATTATGTAATATGTCATTAAACTAAAATGCGTGATCTACATCGACTTTGGTTAGTTATGATGTAAGATCAACACTCAATAAATTGATCAATCAGTCAATATTTCAAACAATCAATACTTCAATCAAACAACACAAGAAACATATGAATGAACGTTTTCAATCAATCAATGTTTAGATCAGTCAACTTGGCAATCAATCAGTGCATCAATGTTTTCAATCACTCAATGTATTTCATCAATGTGTCAATTAAAATAATCCCAATTATTGGCCACGAACCTAGAAGAAAACAGAATCCGGGGCAGGCTTAAGCAAAATTCGGCCATATGTCTTCATGTATGATAAATAAAATCTGATACATGAAGACATCCGCCACAGGCAGGCAAAATTTTGCCCCATTGCCATGACAGGGAGACTGTATTTACACGGAAGAAGGTCGAGGGTAAACTTCGGCATTTCTACGTACAATGCAGAGTAATCCTTAGCGAATAGTGTTCAAAAATATAACCTGAGCAGTATTGGACACATGTGTTCAATCACGATATAATTCTGATGTATATTGCTGCAGATCTGGGTATTTTATATATGCACCATTAAGTGCTACTATGAATGGTGCTAAGGATTTGTTAATTCTTATGCGGGCTTTCTCAGCTGCAATGTTTGAGAGCATGTGTCTATAGTAATTTCTTGGGAGTATTTGGGACCATATGAAGCGTGTGTTTAGCAGCAGGATTTGCAAATTAACAATATTCAATTTCATATACTTTTGAAGTCTACGCAATGGTATAGTGCCTATACTATTGCCTCCACAGTGTATCAATACAAAATCGGGATGTCCCTTTTGGTCAACAAGATGATTAACTGTAGGCTCTACATTCTCCCAAACCATGCCACTCTTACCAGACCAAAGTACTGTTATATTGTGCTGTTGGAGATCTAGATGAGCGTTTCCAAATTGCTTGTCGGCATAAAGGGCAGCGTAATGGACTATGGATGATCCAATAATCCAAACAGCAGTATGACTTGCAATCTTAGTATTCAGTTAGAATACGATAACGTTGCAGGCATAAGCATTACTATTAAAATCTAATGTAAGAATTTAATACGTTAGGTTTCCATCTACCTTTAGATTTAATGTCCTCATCAGAAACTCCTTGCATGTACAAATGAGTAGCCCCACCTATTCTGAATGAGTGTGATTTGAATATAGATATGTCTGTCTCAATAAATTTCACAGCTTCGTGTAACAGTGATGTGAATTGATATTTGGTGAGAGGTTTAGCATTAAGATGGCAGAAAAAGGGACCTTGTATTTGAGGTCGAATTGCCAAAAATTGTGCATGTGTTTGAATAAAGATACGGTTTGAGAACTGTACGTGATTTGTAACATGGTACCCTTTTGATTTTGATCGGTTTTTGAACCTTTGATAAACAAAGAAATTTTTTCTTCGTCAATGGTGACATCTTGAAAAGATAGTACCGGTGTAAAGTTACTGGTGAAAGTAAATTCGCTAATGCGCAGCAGTGCAAAAAATGCTAATTGAAAGGCAGTTGTTTGAGCACACTGTGGGTAGAATTGATATCATTTGATGTAGCATTTGTAGAGGAATTGAGGGTCGAAGGTCTTTTGCCGGATTTAGCCTTAGGAAACCTTCTAACATTTAACTATAAAGGCTTTAGTGTTGTCAATACCCCCTTCTAACTGGATTTTGTAACTAATACCTAAGTAACATCTTGCTGTTGAATAGGATATTTGATTTATACGGAGATATGCAATGTAGTTAATGATCTGGTGGACATGTGGAGGCCAAAACAAGTCAAAATTTATATTTAGAACGGAAGGTTTCGAAAGAGTTGATGCCTTTTTGGTAAGTTGAGGCAGTGTTTTTTTTTATACTGCTGCTTCAAGCAAACTTTCTACATGTGGTCTAATAGAGACGATAATGCCGGAGGTATACTGGCTGGAATCTTGTCTGCTTGAGGAACCAAGGTTCTGAATCTTTCCCACTGAAATTGAGAAATTGAATCTGCGGTAGAATTTTGATAACCTAGAAAATGAATGGTATTAATCTGAATGTTATGCCTAATGCATAACAATATTAATGGCTTTAATAGTGTCATGACCCTCTGAGACTTGCTGGTCTTGGAATTTGTTGTCAGTAATGAGTATTAAACAATAATTTTTTTGCGGTAAACTAATCGGCCCAAACCCAAATAGTTAAGAGAATAGGTACCAGTTCCAAAAAAGGTGATATCCCTACGAATATCTGGACCCCATGATGCTGGCCAGGAAATAACTGCCCAGTGATTCTGAAAAATTGCACCTCCACCTTAGGAACCACAACTATCAGTGAAAAGGTTAAGGGACTCGTTACTTGACCAAGATAGTTCAGGGAATGGCGAACGTCCATTGTAGTCTTTGAGAAATGTAAGCCAATCCCTAGCATCCTCTTTGACAGCTTGTGTAACCTTTATCAAGAAGTAATATTTTTAATGCCAATTGCTGTATTCTAAAAGCTGCCATTAACTGCTCTGCTACCTGGGATGGCTTTTGCAAAAAAGTTTAGGGATCCACAAAGTGATTCCATTTCTTTGTGGGTTACTATTTTGGAAGAAACAAGCGATGCAAGCTTATACTGAAGTTCTATAACCTTCTTGTCAGGAATAAGGATTACCTGGTCCACCGTGTCGATCCCTAAACCTAGAACTTAATCTTGTACAGAGTCCTTCTGTTTTTTTGTCATTTATTGGGATGCCTAACTCACTACAGATTAACTGAAAATTTTTGGCGAATTCAGAACATTGTGAAGTATTATGTCTCCCGGCAAACAAGAAATAATCTACCCGTAGGTAATGAATGATATTGTAATTTTGGGCCTTTTGCGCTACCAGCCAGTGCAGGAAAGATGAGAATTTTTCAAATGTTGAACAAGCAATGGAGCAACCAAAAGGCATGCGCATGTCAAAATAATATTTGTCTTGAATACACATACCCAACAAAGAAAAATCTGTAGGGTGAATTGGTAAAAGTCTAAATGCACTAGACAGATCCATCTTACAGAGTAATGCCCCTTTGCCATTTTTTTGAATCATGGAAATTGCCTGGTCAAAGGAACTGTAGGAGACTGAACATAAAATTGGGTCAATATGCTCATTGATGCTATTGCCAGTTGGTGCTGACAGGTTTGAAATCAACCTCCCTCCACCGTCCTTTTTAGGCAAGACACCGACCGGGTTACACCTAAGGTTGGGAAATGGGGGGCTAGGAAAAGGACCTGCCATGCGACCTAATTTTCATGCACATGTTCCCTAGTCCTCATGTTTTTTGGTTGTAAATAGGCTCTTGGATCTGCATAATTCAGATAAAAACCAGATGTAAATCCATTAAGTAACAGTTGGGCATCTTGAATTTGAGGATATTCAAGTCAGTAAGCATTTGTGTTTCTGCTGTAACCTAGGCGTACCGTGTGCATATATTTCAATATGACCTGAATATCTGAAGGGTGCCTAGCAAGGTATATGCTTGAAAATATCAAAAAGGCATCTACCCAACTTTGAATTGTTGTGATTGTGTTTGTTTTAGTTTGGGTTCATTGACCAGTTGACCTTCAACAATGGAGAATTTATGCAGGTCATGATTGTCTATTTCTGAATAGAGAACTTTAACCAAATCAGTGTATTGTTTAGACCACATTTTTTCTTTGATGGTCTGGGGGACATGAACCCCAAGCTCATCAGAAATGCTTATTAATGGAGTTTCACCTGAGTTTGATGGTGGCATACATGGCATGGCGATTGCTAAGGATTGCTCTGGTGTTGCGACGTCTTGGTTACTGTCCAGGGTCTACAGGGATTATGGATGACTAGCGCCTTGTATTTCAGATTGTGTCATGGAGGGGGGCTGCCTTATTGTTTGTTGGACTTGAGATGTCTGATTCCCTATAGAAGGAGGATTGAGGGTTGCAACTGATGGGTGAGGAACCTGGGTAGCTTATTGCGGGACTTCTGCTGGCTGTGAAGTCTGGATCACCGTAGTGGGATTAGTTATGGCCCCTTCAGCTGGGGTCCTGATTGGCCTGGCATAGGGGGACTTTGATTTCCGTTTACTACACCGCAACATTCGCTAAGAAGTCGTAAGACTAATTATATTTACTGTTTTAACAAATGCATGATAGCACACTGGCTAGCTAAGCGGACCTGAACGGCCCCGACGAAACTTTACATTACATAATGAAATTATTAATTACAGACTCAACAGTACTGTGTTTAAAAATTACTTCTAATGCAAACTCCGTTTAAAGTTATTAGTTCATATTCGTAAACAGAAATACCTTCGGATTTTGAGAAAGAAACCATGCAACAATAATGGCGGCATGATGCCGAAAGGCTGATGGTTGAGCTGAAATCGGTTACCAGAATTATACATGATAGCGAACAAATCAAAATAAATAGCAGTAAATACGTAGCGTAGCTTCTATGATCATATACTTTACCCAAAATTTAATATTGGATGGCGGGAATGGATGAAGTGATCACTGGATTATGGTGGATAGGTTGTTGAATTTTTGTTGAGATGAAATTCCAGAAAGAATTTGCGATTGGCGCGCGCATAATTTATATATGTGCATTAAAGGGGAATGTGTCAAAACTTAATAATTGTAAAGGGTAGTGTCAAAAGTCAGTAATGATAATGTTGTAAGAGTTATGCTTCTTTAACTATGTTACAAGAAGTTGATCTACTCACATTTCCATAATATGACTTAACTCATATTGAGTTAAGTCTGATTACTTTTTAAAATCATTCTATCAACTTTACAGGATTAGGTCTTATTAACTCCTTATGTTCTTTGTCGGCGTACACTATAATTTTTATTTTCTTGACTACGAAAAAATAATACTGATAAAAAAAAAATGAATTCGGAGTAGCTTAGAAATGTTAAACGTTAATTATTGCATAAAAAAGAAGACTTTCTCATTCCATAGCAATATATTGTATAGTACAACCTGGTAAAATGTACAAAAAATGAAATGTTGTAAGTCCTAATTAATTGAGTATTGATTGTACTGACCACATATTTTACAGATTGATTGAGTAATAATTGTTTAACTCCGAGTCGGCAAAATTTCAGCCATATTTTGGCAACATATATAGATAAATTATTATAACAGATTTTAATTTTGATGAAAATTAACTTTTCCATCCAGCCATTATTGGAGATTTCATTTAAGGACATTTCCTTCGGTTTTTGGTTTTGTCGGACATGACGACAAAATTTCATTCACGCCCAAAAACGCTGTTCAGGTGCTTTTTTAAGTTATAGATGCCTGTCTGTCGTGCGTCGTTTGGTAAGCTATTGAGTGACCTATTTTCAACCGATTTAGTGTGTAACACCTATATACATTGTAGTGGAATAAAATTATAACTTCAATGGTCCCTCCGGCTCTGATTCAAGCAATCTTTAACATCTGTCTTTAAAAAATCAGTATTGAATTTTAGTGAGAAGTAATTTAAAAGGGATAAGATATATAATGATCATCTCCAGTGTGGAATGAATTGTTAGCAAAATTCAATTTTAGCGATCACAACACCTTATAGGTTAAATAAGAGTTTTGTTTTGATTTCTGCATTTTTACAAAAAAAAAGTGTCACACTGACACATCTAGTTTAAAACTTCTTCAAAATGATCAAAGTTTATTACAAAACTTTTATGATAATCATATATAATTTAATTCTGTTTGTATTCTAGCCTTTGATTGGTTAATATCCAAAAAGGAACACAAATTATTTCTGTATAACCTGGTTTGGTATGGGGACACCCCCCCCCCCCCCCCCCCGACAACCAGCTGAATCATCTGTATCCATACAATCCTCTAATATCCAGTCCTCGGGATTCATGGAAAATTCCAGATTTAATAAATGTACCTTTAACTTCAAACAATAATTCGATCTTTCCACATGTAAACAAACAACAAAGCTGCTGAGCCTATGTATCAGTTTTTACCTCCCCTCGCTTCCCATTACTTCCGTAACTTCCGTTACTATGGTTGTATTATTGAGCGGCAAATTTGAACTAATAAAAAGCAACGAAATTTTACACCCATAGTTATTTAATGATTTTAAAATTAAATTATAAGGAATGACTCTAATTCTTGGCCAAATTATTCGAGTATAACCTGGTTTGGGTCAGTTTACGCTGTTTTATAATCTGCTTCGCGGATTATAAGGTGTAAACTGACCCAAACCAGGTTATACTCAAATAATTTGGCCAAGAATTAGAGTCATTCCTAAAATATACTACTTTATGAATGTGAAATTTGTTAATTCTATAAGCATTGGGTTATGCTAAAAGTTCTGCTGTATTGCAAGGTAATTCTCCTGACCTTAGTCAACAGACATTTTTCCATGCTAAAGAACCTCTTCTTTAATGTATTATTGAATATTTCTGACTGAATAATATCTCATTAAAAGTATAATAATCATATACATGTTGCTTATTGCCTTGTAGCAACACAGCAGCAGACACCCTTATTCCAGACCTAGAACAGTTGTGGGAGGAATTCCTGTCCTCCATTTCCTCCAATGTGTCAGACTATCTCAGTGTGGAACATCTGGGGATCATTCTCAGGAGACTCGCAGAAACTGGTCTGTAAAACCATTAATCTGAGCTTTTAGCCTATTGACAAGTAAACTTTTCTGATCACTTGGTATAAGTGTGCTCAAGTAATTAACAAAATAATTGGAAATTTTTCTGATGGAATTGAATAAATTGAGTTACATAAAGGGGGCCGTTTTACAAAACAGTTTAAAAACATGATTTAATAATTCCTAGCTGTCTGACAGGCTGATATCAACTATTGTATTATTCAAAATGATACATTCACTAGCTCCCCTTTTCTAGGTAATACCACATTTGACTTTTTTATAGGGCTAAAAACTAGATTAAAATCATTAAATTAGTACGATCGGTAAATTTTATTTTTGGTGTGAAATAAAATTTAACACCTCACACTGCGTTCAGCAAGGATTTCATTTGACGTAAACAACCAAGAAAAGTTTGTTTAATGCGTCTGTATCTTTTATAACTAATTAAACAACTCTTGCATTTTTTTTAAAATCAATATGATATTTAGCAACTCTCCAAGCACAATCTTCACCTCTCCAAGGGCTCTGTGAAATTGTACCTCTTGAGTTGCTAAAATCCCACTTTGACCTAAAATAAAACAACAAATAATTTCCTAACATTTCCTAATATCTTTTACAGGAACAATATAGCACTATTTTTAAACCGATTTAGCAACATCCTTGATTTTGTAAAGAGAATTCAAATCCGTTCCTGAAGTCAGAGTTGATTTTGATATAATAAATATATAAACTTGAGTTTGCAAAGAAAGCAACTACACATTTGTGCATTATACATATATATACCTCAGAAAGAAAAAAAATTGTTAAAGTCATGCATTTAAGGTCACACGCAATAATGGATCTTTTACGAAATTCGTTGGTTAGAAAGAGAGATCTGACAAAAGTGAGCATTATGGCCATAAAACTCTTAATTTCTTTTTTCAGAATCATTTATTGTGAGCCGTCCATTCCTACCTTGTTTTCAAAGAGGGTTACCAAATCTGTTACTTTCTCCGCAAGGTATTCAATTTTCCTTCTGCTCTTTAGCTATTTGTAAGGTGTTTTTTGGTCCATATATCAGTATATTTTTTAACGCTACTCTTTTATAATTTTGATTTCATTAGGAAACGGCATACAAGTAGATCTCGTTCTTTTTTGATTTTGACGAACATTGTTGCCATGGTTGATATGAAAAATAATTTTTAAAAAAACCTTTGAAATTCTTTCAAAAATTCTCCTTCTGCTTTTTAAGACCGCGGAACATTAACTGGCAAAATTGGAAATATACAGCTTACTTCATATCCGTCTGTTACAATCAAAACATTTAATGATAGACAATGGAATGGGCGGGTACAATTTGGCACGGACGTCCGAGAAAATATTGGATTGAAATTCTAGTTTGAAATTCATTTTCAATCCACCTCAGCTACGCTAGAAGGCACGGTGTGAGATGACAGGAAAAATTTAATTTTTTGAAAAGATTGATCAAGATTACAGAGCGAAATTAAAGTATATATCAGCGACAGATAAGAAAATCATTTGAATCAAGTACAGCAAGCAAAAAATGGTTTTGACAGTTATAATCTAGTTCCTTTACTTGCTGCTGTTATTTAAACGTTAAAGTCTCTAGTAAAACACATTTTTAATTGATTTGAATAATAAATCAAACATAACAAAGCAATTTAATTGGATGAATTTTAGTATTACAATTTATTCCTGAAAACTTTTTAAGCCATTTGATTTTGCTGTGCATAAACCTAAATTGCACATTTAGAGTTGGTGACTATCTCTGAAATTCCATTAAAATTCTCTAAGCCATCTGTGAGAATATTCGTGGACAAAATTTTAGGTCTAGGAGTAAGAATATGTCGCTTGACTTTGTTTTGGTTGACATAATGACAGTTTTATCTCAAAACAGCATAAGACGCAAGCTTAAGTAACCTTTTCTGATTAGAGTGTTCAGCGTCTGACTGCCTGTCTGTCTGTCTGTATATTGTATGTCATCTGTACGTTATCCATTCCCATTTACAATCTTGGTGATTAGAATAATTATTTTTTTGTTCAAATGAAAGGCTACACTATCTTTCAAGGGGAAATAATTCAGAAATAGTGGAAACATGGTTGGGTATTCTCCAAAGCTATTGTGCCAAAAAAGTTCAAACTTATGTGTAAGGTTAGACAGTGTTGATTCAAGGTTGTTTAAAGTTTGATCATGAGGGATAGGTTTGAAAACCAATACAGAATCAAATTTATACTGCGAATTTTTACGATTTTTTTTTTTTTGCAAAATCTTGCTTAAAAGAGCAGCAGAACCATGATTAGACATATAATATGCAAACATCCTCAAGTAGTGCATATTCCACTTGTTCATAGCATGGCCCTCAGGAGTAGGTATGGGGCTGCAATAAGATCCAAAAGAAGAGGTTTGAGTCAGTTGTAGTTTTGAAAAAAGAATTGCTGAAAGTCCCTACCATAAGCCGTTTATCTCTCCCTGGTGGTGAATTTGCGAGAAAGAAACATTTTCTCTACTTTTTACACCTGGATATTGAAGATAAATGTGCAATCCAACGCGTATCTTTAGTGTTGCAAAGACTTTTGTAATCTGCGACTGAAGGAGCACCTCAGATGTCAGGGGAGATTTTTTGAATGGTCATCCCTGGGACACAGTAAAAATGTACTTAAATGAAGACATTAGGACACTTTCTACATTTTGTAAAAGAGTACGTAGTTGATGAAACTTTTGAACGTTTTTTTTTTTTGAGAGTCGGTATATAATTTAGCCAAACAAATTAAAGTAATGGTAAAAAAAGTTGTCTCCAATAAAACAAACAGAATCTCTAAATATAAACTAAGATAATTCTGATCTGTTGAGAGCAAGAATTCAATCATGCCATGTATCTTCATGAGATATCTGTAGATACTAGTATCTTTCAATGACACTTGCCATTTACCCCCCCCCCCCCCCCCCCCCCAATCACTGGTTTGTATTTTCAGTGCAACGTATGATCAAGAACTATTGGTTGATGAACACAATTTGGTAACTGCGGTTTCAGAAACATTTTGAAGATACGTTCCACATGAAAATAGGCACAGACATGGATTCAAAGGATATATCTTAAGAATATAAAAAATGTTTATAAAAATGAAGTTTGATAAAAGACAAATCTTGCATCCAATTTCTGTAAATAAGATATAATATAAAAAAATGTGTATGGGAATTTCTATTTTTATATCTATAAATCTTTATGCATTATATACAATCATGTAAATAATGTATAACTGCCTATTTATTATAGTGCATAGTATACACTTTCAGAATCAATTCTGAATGCACAATGAATTTTTAATCTAAAAATCCCATTAGCCATGCAAAACAATTTAAGAGATTTTTACACTTTCTATGTGTCTATCTAAATCAAATACTTTGAAATCGATGTGCTTACTTATGTTGAGTAGAGGTCTTTTTTCCATACTTGTAAATGCATGTAGGAGTTGCAAGCAAAGTTGTTTTAATAATACGTCACAATATCTGATATTTCTTAATATTGAAAGCTTTTGTTTTCATGACTGATTGTTTTTCATACCTTTTTATGTCATTATAAATAGCAAATATATCGAACAAGAAAGTGTACACAATTTCCATTGAATTTTTATGGCTACAATTACAGAAGTGTTCTTTTCCAAAAAATATTAAATCAGTTAGCCTTTTGTGTTACTTCAGTCCTGTTCTATGTTCCCTGATGATATACTGTTAATCTACATTTGGTTTTTCAAAATGAATAGTCTACTACATCTAATAAATTGTCATAACCCTCTTAGACGCTTTTAGAGGGACTCTTTAGATAACCCCTTGGTCACGTGACCAGTATACATTGGTTTTGCAAATAAATTATAAAATATAACAGAGGAAACATTACTAGACATTACTAATTAAATTAATTTAAAATTCAATATGGGCAAAAAAACCAGCCTTATGGAAACCTGTCTTTTACATGAAAATAAAATTGAAAAATCTTCAATATTCTCAAGATCAGTAGGGGTAACATAATTGGCATTATTGCGCATTTATCATCACCCCTTTGTGTAGGATGGGGGAAGAGAGGGGAGTAACATTTTCATGGGAATATACAGAAAATTTGTACAAAAAAGCTTAATTGGAAGAATAGCAAGAAGGATTTATATCTTATTTATATGCCAACAATCCATTACTTTGTGAATTAAAGATTTTATTAGTTTATAGGGTCCCCTGAGTCATCATTTGTTGTTTGTCCGTCACCTTCTGTCGTGCATCGGTCAAAACTTTTTACATTCTCATGCTGTTTCTTCTCATGAATGGCTGAATGTATTGCAATTTTGGCATAGAACATCTAGGGCAAAGGAAAACAAAACTTTAATAATTCATGGTTTGTTCTCCCTGGGGCCTAAGAGGTGGGGTCAAAACAATAAAAAGTATTGCAATCTTTAAAATCTTACTCCTGAACATCAAACAGTCAAACTGTTGGTATGATTATATCAAGCAATAAGATCAAGGCCGTAACTAGGCTAAAATTTTTAGTGAGGTAATGGTTCGGGTAGGGGGGACACCCGATTCCTAAGCGGGTGCAGGGTAGTGTCCTGACCGGGGGGGGGGGGGGTCCAAAAACTGGATTTTAGCAAATTAAAGACTTTAATCTTCGAAAGTTTTCAGATGCTTTGATTTTTTTTTTTACATTCCTCTTAAACTATAATGAAGCACCTGATTTACAGGAATTGAAACAAAAATTGAAAGTATTAATTTAGTGCGAAGTCAAACATTATTACAGTTCAAATATTCACTTCTCAGAAAACGCTAAAATCTTAGTGGGGCATTTGGCTCACTTGCCTCAGTGGTAGTTACGGCCTTGAGAGCTCTAGTAAAACTGTAAAATCACGTCCTTAGGATCAGGGGTTCTGGTGCTTAGAGAGGGGCTCTATTGATCATAAAGTGAATGCTGTAATTCTTTGAAAATCTACTCCTGGGTCTTTATAATACATAGTAAGTGCATAGTTATGATAAGCAAGGGCTCCTCTTCCAAAATTGTGAAATATATGGCCTCTGGATCAGGGTTTCCGTTATTAAGGTTCGGGCTCTATTGATTATTAGGTGGTTCTGTTGGTTATTTATAGTGGCTCTATTTATAATATACATGTATAGTGAACCTATAGTAAATCTCTTTTTCTGCTCCTGTGCATCTAGGGTCAAACAAAGTACAAAGTTGTAATGAGTAACGGTGTTTTGTGAAGATTTGTGAAATTCTTGGCCACTGGGTCAAGCTTTATGTTGCTAGACAGGGCTGTGACGGTCAGGGGCGTAGCATCGTTTTTAAAGGGGGGGGGGGTGGCAGCCAAAGAAAAAAATTCAACTTACCTGAAAAAGCTTGACAAGCAAAAAAAAATCCTTTGGGGGGAGGGGGTGTTAAGGTTCTTTCAGTACCAATTTTTATTCATACAATACTACATTACCCTTAATTGACTTTAATTACTACAACAAAAGGGGGGGGGGGGCAGCCTTCCATGAACATTTCAATAGTAAAAAGTTATGCTCGGAAAAAAGTATTTTCATTCTGTACATCTTGTTGTCAGCGACAATATGTACCTACCCTCACTGGACATATTATCGACCATCGGTACATATTGATGCGACAATATTTACTGAGCCTTTTTTCATCCTGCATAATAGACGACAAAATGTACAGTCGAGCATCGGCACATTTTGTCGTCGGCAACAATATGTATTTGTTGTGAACATTTGCACATTTTGTGGCCGATATATTGTGTTGAAGAATATTTACTAAGGTTTTAAAGAGAGAGAGAGAGAGAGAGAGAGAGAGAGAGAGAGATTAACACACACAAACACACACAGACATACAAACAGAAGGATAGACAAAGTGTACGCCACTTAAATAAGTAAACAATTTTCATAACTCGCAATACAGTAGGGAGAAAATGTTTTGGTCAGAAAAATTGTGTCCAGTATTGATGTACATTATGTACATCACTAT